AAAAAAGTTAATACAAATACAAAAACAAGTAACAATTGCATAAAATAAATATAAAAAATGATACATCCACACCAAGTGGGTACTACCCTTATGGGTAGCATCGACTAAACCAAAAATCATAGCACAAACCTAAGGGGAACACTATGAAATAGACTAGACATCTTTAATTTAATGGGGAGGCAAAGGTTTTATGACATATCCAAATTGGTCAAATATGTGTAAAGTTGTCTAAAGGAGTATATTTTCATGTCGATCAAGAAAAAATAAAAAATAATAATAATAATTAAAAATCCATAAGATCTTAGTAGCTTGCATGACATAATACATGGGTTTGGTAATCAAGTATTGTATTCTCAAACAATAGTGAGGATCATGTAGATATAATATGAGTGACAATTAAGCATTGTGCATATTCAAATTTCAACTGATATGGGATAATCCCACCAGGTCGACTGGATCGGAGAGACAACCAAACCAAACCGATCTAGTCATTGTCGAAGGAAGAAAGAGGATTACTCAGGTCAAAGAAAGCACTGGAGGCTAGAAGGTACCAAAGGGTCGAATAGAGGCTCTCGAAAGGCCTAGTCAAAGGTCAAATGGGAGAGGAATCTGGTTGAGGGTCGACCATACGGACAGGACAACGAAGCTCATTGTCGATGACACCCCACCTCGAGGTAATTGAGGTCAAGTACTCCACGATTAGGCCACCTAACGGGGAGAACTTATGGATAAGAGGAAACTTAGGGGAATTAAACAATTCATAATATGGGTAAAACCACGTGGCGCCATTCGAGTGGTCCACGCCTCATAACCGTCTCTGATTGCTCGAATGACTCTGACAGCTCTGACAACTGAGGTAGCTCACACACTCGCTACTGGGGAGTTTACTCGCCTGACTTAGACCCTAAGATATCTTCTCTTTATAAAATAGAGTGAGGTATGCTTAAAAAAAAAATTACATTATGTATTATGCACACTATATTACAAATTGTTTTTCCTCTTTAGATTTCATCTTCTACACTTACTCATTTAAGTATCGGAATCTCTTTATCGGAGATCCACTCCGTGTGGAAGTTTTGAAGGTTCGAGGACGTTCAATCGACAACCAACTCGAGATCCAGGCGTTTTCAGCTAATTCTAGCTGGCCGGAAGTCTTTTTACCATCAATATTGGTCAAACGGTAAAACATTTTTTTTTGGTACAAAGAAGGGTCAGAAACGGTAAAATATTAAGATGCAAGAGAAGTTACTTGAAAAATAAAAAATAAAAAAATCTGATAATTTGAAACAAACTGCTGTAGTTTTCCCCTATACATTAATATATTAAACATAAACCCACAAGAAACCAATGAAATCATTCATCAATTATACTTTGTTGATATTTCAAAATCATCCATCACTAATGAATAAAATCAACCTTACATATGGCCCTACATTTTTATCATAATATATTATACACTATATATAATCCAATTATTTCTCTACTTCATAACCAAAACTAAAGCCTTTCATCACAAAATCTATCAACACTTTCCTCTTTTAGTACATTTTCCCTCATATAGAAACTTTGGAAAAAAAAAAATCCCATCTGATCAGTAAACATAAGTACATAACTATTTCAAGAATCATGTTCAATGGTGAGAAAAACAAATCACCGCCGCTGGCCGGCGCCGCCGCGTATCCGCCGGAATGTGCCGCCAAGCGGGCAAAGAAAATCCGGGACGCGACCCGCCACCCGGTCTACCGCGGGGTCCGGATGCGGAGCTGGGGAAAGTGGGTGTCGGAGATTCGTGAGCCCCGGAAAAAGTCGCGAATATGGCTCGGCACCTTCCCGACCGCCGAGATGGCGGCGCGTGCCCACGACGTGGCGGCGCTAAGCGTGAAGGGGCCCTCCGCCGCCCTCAACTTCCCGGATCTGGCGGCCACCCTCCCGCGCCCGGCCTCACTCAGCCCGCGCGACGTGCAGGCGGCGGCAGCCAGGGCGGCGGCCATGGAGGGGATTTCGCCGGCGGTTTCGAGTGATTCC